TCAGGCCCTTGCTCTGCGCTGGTGCCTGAGTGGTGCCTGGCCCAGCAGTCAGGGCAGGATTTGGCCCAGAACAGTACTGACTCAGACTTTCCTTTGCACTGGACTTTGCCTGCCATTTCTCACTCTGGTGTGCTTGTGCTGGCTGTTGTTCCCCCAAGCACTCCAAGCTCAGTGGTGCTGCTTGGCTGGCACTCGCACGCACCAACCGGCACCAGGGATGCAAAGAAGCCCTGGGCACGGGATCCACAGCAGCTTTCACATGAACATTGTGAGTGCTGAGGTTTATAACCCAGAAAATCTGGGCTCTGAAGGGCTCTATCTGGCGGGGCAGGAGGCGTGCCGCCCTGCCCAGAGCCACTTTTATGCCATTGTGCCTTTTCAGCATTGCATTAAGGCAGCCAAAGAAGGGGGATTTTTAATGGTTCCAGGGGAACAAAGTGGAAACATTCGGCCCAACTTCATTACAGAATCATCTGAAACGCTTGAGGAACGTTTCCCACTAATTATCCTAAATAGCCGAAAAAAGTCTTTCCCTCCCAAAGCAGGTTTCAGCTGCCCCTCTGTGTTTCCTCACCTCCACTTCCAATAGCCTGACCTTGCCCCCGCACAAAGGGGAGACCCCATCTCCGCTCCCCCCGCGCTCGGGGGCTCTAAAGAAATACAAACAGGCAGCAGATTAACAGCACTTGTTTGCACCTTAAACAAACAGGGACTTCCGCCCCTCCGGGCTCTCCCACTGCCCGAGGGAGGATGCGCCGGCTTGTTTTTCTTGCCCTTGCTCTCATGCCCTGCCCAAACCTTAGATAAACTCCTGGGTAGCCCAAGGCCTGGAGCAGGCGAGGGTGACATCCCCCCAGCCACTTGAGACCCGTCCCCCATGCTGAGTGTCCTCTCCTGCCCCAGCTGCCCCCGGGGGAGGTCGAGCCCCTGCTGCAGGAGGGCTGGGAGATGCCAAGGCCAAAGCAGATGAATGAACGTCCCTATTCAGCTCTTGCCCCGTGCATCATACAGGGCTCCCTGGCAAGGGGCAGCCTAATGTGGCCAGATGTGTACAGAGAGAGGGTGTGGGGAGGGATGATGCCAGCGAAGGACGGGGAGGGAGAGACAGACTGTCCAGAGGACATAGAGGAGTGGTGCTGGTGTTCAAAACCATCATGAGCATCAAGGGGGCAGAACAGCACACAGAGCAATGACTGAAAGCCCACAGCCCTCTCTGCTATATGTGATAAGGGATGGATTAGTGCTGCACATGCCTGTGCAGCTGGTCCTTAGGCTGATCCCAGCAGCTGCAGCTGCCTCTGCCAGGGAGCTGCCCCAGCTTGGGTCCTCAACCTGCAGGTCCCATGCTGCCTGTCCCACCTCTCCCAGTGACATTGCCAGCACGTCCTGGCTCCTACAGGACCTGGTGCCAAACCAGCCCCTTCTTGCCCTGCCCACAGCACACAAAGCAGCCAGTTCCCAGCCCAGCCACGCTGCTCAAACCACACCAGCAGCTGTCGACACGCTGCTCCCAGCACAGCTCGGCACGTGTCCAGGACCAGCACACAACACGGGCACCCAGGGAGGAAGCTGTGGCAGCACAGCCACAAGCTGGGACAGGTTCCCATCACAAACCAGCATTGGGACTTGCTCACCAGAGGCCCAGGCTTGCTTCTCACCCAGGTTATTGTGCAAATCCCCTCATGCAGGTGTTCGTTGCCCTCCTTCCCACCAGCCACAAGAAAGGGCTCTTGCTTGCGAGCCCCTTCCTGCCCACAGGGTGCCCCAGGGGCAGGAAGGGGAACAGAGGCAGGTGGCAGGGATGGGCAGCGCTCCCAGAAAGGCTGACAAGTCAGAGGGGTTACAGGTAGGTATTGCAGCATGACTGACAGAGCTGTGGGAACCACTTCTTGCCTGCACAGATCAGGAAGAGAGCCAGCAGCAGCTGTGGGACTCCCAGGCCATGCTGGAGAGCCCTGGTCCCAGTACCACTCAAGGACACACATGGTGTCCTGTCTCTGCTTCTAACTGTTGATCACCTGAAGCTAGCTATGAGGACCTCAGGGAGTCACAGCAACTGGGAAGAGGTGTATAGCGTCACAAGCAGCCTGGAGATGCCACACATGGATGCTTACCTTTTTTTTCTTTTTTCCCCAAAGCAAAAACCAGGGACATCCTGTGCAAGGAGCAGCAAGCAGGGGGAGAGCTAAGGGAAGCAATGCCTTGTTTGGTGGAACTGCTATTCAGGGCAGTGCTGTGCTGCAAAGGGGTGCCTGGGCTGCCCACAGCAGAGCAAAGAGGGTGTACTAGGGGCTGTACACTTCACAGCACCTGCCCCAGCCATGTACCTCCCTGCCAGGAGGAAGGCCATTCCTTGCCATTGCAGTGAGCTGCAGTTCTGTAGCAGCAAACCTGTACACTGATCTCCCTGGTGCAGATCCCCCATGCACTGCCCCATCCCTGCATGCTCTCTGGCTGCTCTTGCTTAGCAGTCAGGGAACCCCAGTGTGCTCCTCTACAGACTGCCCAGGCACATCACTCCCAGAGCATCCTTCATCCCTCTCAGTCCCTTCCCTCTAGGAGTACACCAGAGTGAACAGGGGCAGATGGGAATGGTTGCTAATTCCTCCCAGCCCAGCCCAGCCATAACCCTCCAAGGATCTGCCCCACAGTGATGGAAGGAGCTGACTCCTGTCTGTGAGCCAGCTGCACCAGCCTGGCCCCAGGAACACGGGTGGCTGTATTTTCATTGCAAATTAGAAATCGATCATAGCAGGAAATTCCCATGCTGACAACACCCTTGGCTGTTATTATTTTACAGCACTCTGGGGTGTTCTGGACACTTAGAAAGACATGGCCTTTTTGGGGTATTATGGGGCAAATTAGTTTTAAAGGCAGATGTAGGAATGTTAGCCCTTTGCTTTCTGGAGCAGGATGGGCACAGGTGGAGGCTGTGGAGCTTTGTGCTGCTTTCAGATACACCACTGCTCTGCAAAGACAGAATCAGCACGCTCCAGAGTGAACACCTCATGCCTGACCCCAGCTTTATTAATAACAAGTAATTAATATGAGAGCGGACGTGCCTTGTGTCTCTGAAGACCTTTTAAGATGTGATTATGTTGTGCTAATCTCACCCCGAAGTACTTCCCTGTTTAGACTGCACTGGGCCATTAAATATCTGAAAAGCCAGCAGAGACCCCCCCTCATCGCCCCGGGAAGTGCTTGGGGTCTGTTCCCCGGCAGCCAGGCCCCACTTTCAAACTCTCTAAATCAAGTACTAAGCTGAGCCCATCTGGACTGCCAGGAAAAACACTCCATCCCCCTCATCTGTGTCTCATTACCCACCGTGCCAGCCCCAGCCCCAGAGCCACTCTCTCCATCCCGCCCAGATGTGCTGCCCCATGCTTCCCTCCCATATTTCACAGTCATCAGCAGAACTTCAAGGAGTAGCCAAAGGGCCTGTAACACTGCAAAGGCTCTTAGCAAAGATGTATATCCAGGTTCCTAACACATAGCTGCAGGCATGCACCCTAACACAATGCCCCTTTCCCCCTCTCCTGGTCTTGCACCAGGCAGGAGTGCTGGGGTACTCAGGGCTTGCTGGCCAGGAGGTCTCTGAGCTGCTTCCCTGTGTCTCCTTGACAAACACATGTCCAGACCATTGATTTTCAGGGACTTTCCCCACTGAAATCCCCCAGAGACATGGCCCACAACTGGGGAAGGGCACACAAAGGCAGGACAGGACAAAGCAGGTGCTGGTGGCAAAGGCAAGGAATTGAAGACAGACACCTGCAACCCTGGAGAAACCAGGGTGATTAAATTTGGGATCAGCTTACCTGGCACAAGGCAAGGTCAATACTGAGCCTAGAGCAAAACAGGTGCCCAGAGACCCAAACCAAGGAACAATCCCTGTGTACATTGGCTCAAATTCTCCTGAAATAAGGCTTCACAGGGAAAGTTTCAGCACTTTCTGTGACGGCAGAAATCCTACAAAATAGCCACAGGGAAAGTTTCAGCACTTTCTGTGATGGCAGAAATCCCACAAAATAGCTATTTGTTTAAGTTTGGTGCTTCCCTGGGCTTTGCAGCAGCTCAGGACTGTGGAGTTGAACGAGCACATCAACCCTGTAGTTAAGAGGACCATTAGCCCCTTCTTCCCAAGCTTGCCAAGAGCTGGTGCCCAGCCTGCAGCTGAGGCTCAGCATCAGGTGAGGTTATGGTAGAGAAACACATATGTTTCCATGCTGAAACATCACTCTTCCAGAGGGGCCAGGGCAGGCTACATTGCAAAGAGGTTTTGAGGGATACGAGATTTTATAAGGGAAAGAAAAACCAGTCTGCTGTCTCAGTGTGCTGCTGCCTGCAGAGGGTGTGCAGCTCTGATCCTAAACCAGTCCCCAGTGGCCAGCACTGACCGGGAACAGTTGCTTCCTTCAGCAAGCAACAGGAATCCCCCGGAGAGGATCACGGCAAGAAAAGCCCTGGGATGAAAATAATCCTCTCATCAGCTCGTCAGAGATGCAGGGGAGGCTTTAATATCAGTGAGGATGAAAAGGAGCAGTATGACAGGGGTACGGACACTGACACATCCTGTAACGTGGCACGGGGAAGAAGATGGGGCGCGGGGCAGGAAACCTTGGGATCTCCTTCCCCAAGGGCTGCAAGCACCTTCCAGGGATGGGGAGGAGATTCGGTCAGGAGCACCCGTCCCTTCGAGGAGGAGCGCCCATGCCCATGCCA